CCCGCCCCAGCGCCGCCCCTGGCGCGCTCCGCGCGCCAGGGAGGGGGGTCCAGCGCAGATCCAAGAAACCGCGCGAGGCGTCGAAAGTTTGTGTGTTGTGGCATTTTTCTTTCTTCGAACCCTGCCTGCGCGCCTTCCTGGGCGCCGCCAACCTGGGCCGCGAAGCACTGCCCTGGCGAAGCGCGCGTGCCCGGCTCCGCGCCCCCATGACTTGATCTGGAACTCCACGCCAGCGGCGGCGCTCGCCCTGGCCACGGCTGCCGCGAGCGTCGCCTCGCCTCGGAAATCCACGACTTTGGCGAAGAGGCCGTCGAATGTGAGAATCTCGCTGATGCCCCCCGCGCCCCGAACCTTGTCCAACAGAACCATCAGCGCACTATTCTCCATGTGCGAGGGGATGGCGGCGATCCTGCCGAAGGCGGGGCTCGGGCGGCCGGCGTGCAAGACGTTGTATCCCGCGAGCTCGGCGCCACCGAGCAGGAGGTGTGAGCGCCGTCCACAATCTCGTTGGAGAGCTCCAGCATCCACGGCAACTGCGTGGCTGGCCGAGCACCGAGGGAAGGAGATAGGGAGGGCGAGAGAGGGCGGAGGAGGGGCAGGAAGGCGAGGAGGCAGGAGGGATCGAGGATGGGGAGAGGGAGGAGGGGAACGAGGGGGGCGGGAGAAGGGGCGAGGATCGGACCGAAGAGGGGCGAGTCGGGAAAGAAGTGGAAGGGCGGCAGGTGGAGGGCGGGGGAGGGGGGAGGAAATCCGAATGTGATCATAGCCGCGAGAACCGTAAAACAACTTGATCAACTCAACTTTGGACTCGTCAGCGGAGATCTCGAGGCGGCCTCCCGCCACTTCTTGGAATCGACGCAGAGCTTGCGGATCATGGGGAACCTGTCGTCATTCCACAAGCCGCGCGCCTGCAACGCCATCTTGAACAAGCGCGGGTGGCAACACGGAGCGCCGCTCTCGATGTAGTCGGGGAAAGCTGCCACCCGTGCCTCGCGAGTGAAACGTCTGGCCACCGACCCCTCGGCATAACTCGCGCCCATATGGGTCAGATGTGTAGTAATCCATCGGCAACTTGACCGACCGCTCGTCGCGGTTGTAGTGGGCGACGCAGCGCTGGATGCACGCGTCGAGCACAGCCTGGCGCCGACCCTCCCCTGCCGCCAGCGTATTCTTGCAACGCACCCAAGGAAGGCATCTCAACGCATCTGCTCTTCGCGGTGGTGGGCGTGCCATCAAGGGCCGTCACGGGACTGCTCAGGTGCTCCAGGATCATCGCGTGCCACTCTACGGAGCCATCTGCAACCAGCGTAGATGTATTGTCGATGTGTTCGAACGGGTTGCCTCATTCGCCCCAGTCCCCACGGACGCCCCTGCCGCCGCATGCTTCCACGCCCGCACCATCTTGTCGTAGTTGACCACGAGTTTCGTCAAGGCGTTGGTGTCGGCCTGCGTGAAGAGGCGCAGATTCGACTTCCCGATGGCAGCTGTAATGTTCTGCCACTTTGATGCGCCCTTCTTCCCTGGCTTGCGCGCCCCAGGGATGCAATCCAAGGTCTCGATGAGGTACACCTTCACGACGGCCTTCGCGGGCGTGTTCGCGTGAGCCGCGGCAATCAAGTTTCTCTCCACCACGTCTGCCGAGTGGCCGTCCTCGGGCGGCGGGTCGTCTCCCCCTGAGAGCCTGGAAGCCAGCCACACGAGATCCCTGTGCATCTCCGTGCTCAGCGACTTGATATCGTCCAGCATTACGAGCGACTCGTCGGGGGTGCAGTTCCTCCCGAATGGGCGCAAGTACTTGTGTAGAAACCTCGTAGCGACCCACGGGTGCGACAATAACTCGTCGAACGTGTCCTGCGGGATCTTCATGAAGCGGCCCTCCTCGAGGCATACGTCGTCGTCGCTGTGTACGAATGTGGCCTTCCCCATGCGGGAGCATATGATCCGCCGCTCCAGCTGCTCGCACAGCTTCTTCCGCGTTCCCCCCCGCCCCCTCGAGGACTGGGATATTCTCGTAATTCGATTCCTGGTCCTTTTTCCCGGAAAGGGCGCCGGCCCAGGGTTCTCTTTTAGTTTGTAAACCTGTCCCCCGGTGCCAACTTGAAGGAGGCCGGCGGATTTTTTCCCTGATAAATATCGAGGTCGAAGGAGGCCGGCGGATTAAAATTTGAGGATGTCTCGAGCGCAACGCTTGTTTTTGAAATCCCGATTCGATAAATCGCAGGGTGCGGGACACCCACTTTTTTCGTGTGTTGAGGATGTCTCGAGCGAACGCTTGCTCCGCAGAATTTGCTGAGGATGTCTCAAGCGAAACGCTGGTTTTGCAGAGCCGACCGCGACGCGGAAAAGCGCCCCGCGCGAAGGAATTTCGATGCTGTCTCGACTAATTCGTTTGTTTTTGTACGATTTCCTGGAATTTTGGCAGGATGTCTCGAGCGAAATGCACGACCCCACCCCAGCACGACCCCACCCCAGCACGACCATACCCCGCAAAAAACCGACCACACCCATCCCGACCAACCGCCAGCACGCCCACCCCAGCACGACCCCACCCCCACGACCATACCCCACACGACCACACCCCGAGCAACGACCGACCCAGCTACGACCTACCCCGCAAGACCAACCCCACACTACACCACATACCCCAGCACTACACACCCAGCACGACCCCACCCCAGCACGACCACGCCCCCGATCACGACCACGGCCCCATCACGACCACGCCCCAGCACGACCACCTCCCAGCATACGACCACACCCCAGCACGACCACCCCCACCAGCACGACCACGCCCAGCACGACCACATACCCTCACCCCAGCACGACCACACCCCAGCACGACCAGACCCCAGCACGACCCCACCCCAGCACGACCCCACCCCAGCACGACCATACCCCAGCACGACCACACCCCAGCACGACCCGACCCCAGCACGACCCTACCCCAGCAAGACCACACCCCAGCACGACCACACCCCAGCACGACCTCACCACAGCACGACCACACCCCAGCACGACCACGCCCCAGCACGACCACGCCCCAGCACGACCACGCCCCAGCACGACCACCCCCCCAGCACGACCACACCCCAGCACGACCACCCCCCAGCACGACCACACCCCAGCACGACCACTCCCCAGCACGACCACACCGCCTTGGTTGAGTGGTTGCCTGTCGTCGTGGAATGTTTCGTGGGGTGTCTCGTGGAATGTTTCGCGGGGTGTCTCCTGGAATGTTTCGTGAGGTGTCTCGCGGAATGTTTCGTGAGGTGTCTCGTGGGATGTTTCGTGAGGTGTCTCGTGGGATGTTTCGTGAGGTGTTGCCCCGTTGGGTATCGTGAAAACGTGCCCATGCTCCACATGTCTATATCCCTTTCCGGGTTCGTGGGTCCATCATGTTTCACTCGCCGAAAGTCCTCTGCACGGTGAACCCGGAGTTCACGCGGCATGACAGCTCCTCCCCGACGATGAACCGCTTCCAAATGTCAGATACCATGCGGGCGTTAGCGTCGCACTCCTGTATGCGGGCGATCGACTTGTGCCACGCTGCCCCGCCAGACTTGCGCCATCCGGACCGATCGTAGAAGACGCCGCAGTCCAAGTAGTGGGCATTCGCCTCCCCGACGATGTTCCTCTGCAAAGTGGCTTCCATGTGCTTGCCATCCCTTCCGCGCCCAATCTTGAAGTTCATTTTCGCCGTATTGACCCGCAGGAACGCCAGTTTCAACGACGCCAGCTCCAACTGGAAGACGGCTTCGTTCTTGTAGTACAGGCCCTGCAGGAACACGGTCAACCGCTGGTCCCACTCGACGACGTCGATCCCCGCCTTCACAATGTCTCCCTCCGACCAGAAGAATTGATAAGGCACCCGCATGTAGCAATTGTTCTCGGGCTTTGGAACAGCTGTTTCCCAGCTCGAATCCAAGTAGTAACAGTCGGTGAATGTGACGCCTTGGGACCTCGGCTTCGGCGCGTCGCACGTCTCCAGGAACAGCATGGTCAGGGGAGTCCGCGTGGCCCCTTTGTCCACGGCAGTCTTGAACGCGCACATCATGTCCACCACCTTGGGGGCCCAGTTGCCCTTCCAACCTTTATTGTCGGTTGCCTTCTTGAGGGCGTCCGAGTGCTTTTCCGCTGCGTTGCAGAGAGTGGCGAGCGACAGAGTCCCCAGGAGCAGGAGGCCTCAGAAGGCCACAGGAGTGGCTCCAATCCCATGTGTTGTACGTATGCTCCTATAGATTGGGCCTCCCCTGGAGCACGAATCCTTATATTGTTTTACGTGTGTTTCTGTAGATTTGGCCTCCCCGGGGGCACGAGTCCTTGGTGTTTTACGCGTGTTCCTATAGATTGCCCGTCTCCTGCGGCTCCAATCCGTAGTGTTTTATGTGCGTTTGTTCCTATATATTGGGCTTCTCCTGGGGCACGAATCCTCCCCAGGAGGCCCCAGGAGGCCTCAGGAGGCCACAGGAAGCCCCACGAGGCCACAGGAGGCCCCAAGAGGCTCCAGAATGCCCCAGCAGGCTCATGCGCAGAGACGCGTTCGTACCACGGAGACTCCTTCACACTCCAACTCACTCACAGCCAGTTTCGCGCTCCCGGACCGTCCACACGTGAGCCCGTGAGTGCTGCAAGCCTCTTGCGCCCAGACGCTCGCGGCGGACAGGTCCATGCTGATACAGTCGGGGCCCTGAAGAAGGAACCCTTTTCGTTGGGGAGGGGCTCCGCGTTCCTGAAGTGTTTCACAGCTTGCCTCAGGTTTTCCTCGTGCTTTCGATGGGGCATCGAAGCTTAACTCGTGGATAGAAGGGGCCTCGTTCCTTATTTCGGGTTCCTTGGGTCAACGCTCCGACTGTGGATTCACATCCGGGGAGCTCCACGCAGTGAACCACTCTCCTGTCGTGTCGGGCCTCGCTGCGCCGGCCTGCGCCGCGCCGCCGGGCGGCCTCGGTGGACACGGCGGCTCGCGGCGCCAAAGCCCCCCCCCCCCGGCGCCGCCGCAGGCAGCGGCAGGAGCAGGCGGCCTGCCGCGCCACGAGCGGGCTGCCCGAGTTCACGGTGGACCGCTGGATGCAGCCGCCACCCGCCCATGCACAGGCGGGCCGGGGTTGGTCGTCGTCGTCGTCGTCGTCGTCGTCGTCGTCGTCGTCGCCGGCGGGAGGAGCGCGTTCGTCCGTTCCCGTGCCGCGGTTCTGGAGCCTCCCCCCCGCTGCTCGAGGACGGCAAAAGACTGCACAGGCATGCCTTCTCGATTATGGGAGCCCCGAGCGGACTTCTGGGATCTGCGGTGGGCACCCCTGGCGCCCCCCGCGCCGCCCCGCGGCGCCCTCCGCGCTCCTCGGAAGGGGGTGTCCGGCGCAGATCCGAGAACTCCGCGCAGACCTCCAAGATGTCCATGCCTGTGCCGGCTGCTGCTCCTCCCTGGCTGCCGTCACCCCTCCTTCCCTTCCCATGCCGCCCCCTCCTCCCCCCTCCTCCCCCCTCCTTCCCCCCGGCCTTTTCCCCTCCCCTCCTCCCCTCCTCCCCCCCGGCCTTTCCCCTCCTCCCGCCCTCTCCGTTCTGCAGCTGCGAAGGTGTCCTGGGTCGGTGCCTCTCCGAGTGGCGTGTCCGCGGTTCTCTTCTGCGGCGCCGGGTCTTGCCTCGTGCTTCTGGGGTGCGGGGGCCGGACGAGCAGAAACCACACACGACAGAGCGCGCACGCAGGGCCCCGAAGCAGAACAGGGGGCCCGAGCTTCAAGCTACAGGTGTCGGAGCCGATGAAACAACACTCACGCATAACATATGGTGTGAACTTCCATCTCTCCCCCCGAGTGCAATGTTGGGCTCGGCTCTCCCGAGTTTGAGTGTCGGACCAGTGATGCGTAGGCGTGCCAATTTTGCACTGCCGGGGGAGGGGCGGGGGGAGTGCTGCTCACCTCGTCCCTCAACCGTACCATCCCTTCCCTTGGAAAACGGGGGGGGGCTTCCGAAACTCCCCCCCCCCTTCCCCCCTGGGGTCGGCATTTTGTAGCTGGAGGGGCCCCAGCTGCAAGGTGGGTGGGGGGGGGGAAGCTACCCCCACCCCCTTTTCGGGGCCCAGGGTAGGCCTGGGCTCCCCTTTCCGAGCGGGGGGGGAGGAGGAAGAGGAGGATACGGCACTGCCGAGGGAAGCGTCGCGCAGAGCACGAGCGCCCACCAAGGGCGCCAAGCTGCTGGCAGCCTGGCTGGCCTGCGAAGAGGCTGGGACCCCACCAAGAGGATCTCGGGTACCAGCCACACAGACAAAAGAGACGGGAAATTAAGTCCCGCTACCTGGCTGGAAAGGTGAGTTCCCGTGGAGCCTGACCAGTGAGTCTCAGGGTCGGAAACGAGTAGCGGACGAGGTGCGGGAACTCGACGTGAGCCCTCTGCTCCTTCGTCCGCAGGATGAAAACCCTGCATGAAGAGGCGTCGGTTACGCACCGCCCGTTCTGACAGACGGTGCGTGCTCCCCGACGGGCAATCAATTAGGAGGTGACCAGCCGTGCCCGTCGTGAAAGCCCCACAGGAAGCACACAGGCAAACATGGCCCGAGGAAACCCAGAGACGATTGCCGCGAGCGGCCGTGGCAGGAACGGGGCCCGCTCCAGGCATAGGCTCGGCTGGTACTGTCGTGTCGGCCAGCGAGGGCCGACTTGGGCGCTTGGAGCCGATCCGCCTCCGCTTGTCTGGGAGGAAGGTGGGTCCCGAGCGCTCTGGAAAAGAAAGAACCCTGGCAGCGGCATCTGCCTGGGCACTCGCAGCTCCATCCCAGGCAACAGCGACGGGCTCGAAACCCACGCGTGGCCTGACGTGTCGTTCAAAGCCAGGTGAGGGGCTGCGGGGGCGAGGCGAGAAAGGGCTACCCAGTCCCGAGGAGGGAGGGGGGGATCCGCCTCCCCTTGGACACTCTCCTGGCCACGCGTGGGGGACTCCGTTCGAGGGCGCACCGAGCGAAACGAGTCCGAGGGGGGGCGAGATCGCACCGCAGCGCCGAAGCTGCTGCCCTCATTCGTCGGCATCTGCCCTTCATTGTCAGCCTGGGCGCGCACAGCGTGACCAGGAGGAGTGACAGTGGAGGGTTGCCGAGGGATGGCGGCAGCAGCACGCAAGCGAGCAGGGCAGGCAAGCAAAGAGAGACGACGACGGGTCCTTTCTAGCTTCGAGCCCTTCCTACACAACTCGCATCTCCAAATGCTGCGATGGGGAACCTGGGAGAAAACATGGCGCAAGTGAGCCGAGTCCTCCTTGGGCTCCAGAGGGGCCGTGGCTCGCCGAGGGCGCCGACAGGCTTTCTTGCGGGGCCGAGTATCAACCCGCTGTTCGCCAAAGGAAAGCCCCAGGGCAGTAGTACTCCATCGCAGGATGCGAATGTAATGTTGGTGGCCAAGCTTCATAGCTTTGACCTGAGTTCTGGGGATGGAGTGGAGGTCTCTGCCATTGCGCGCAGCAAGGTCGGCCCACCGGTTGCCTCGGGCATCGGTGCTCTGGCCCTGCTGGTGTCCTTTAACTAGGGTAACTCGCACATCAGACCCCGCCTCGCCCAGGTCAGAAATCTTGGCCCATATGCGCTCCCAAAGATCGACGTTTAAACGCCGAGGCGAGCGTCGCCATCGGGCTCCAAGGGCGAGGCCGTCAACCAGGCCCTTGAAGTCGGTGTGCACACAAACGGGGGGGAGGCAAACCTGGAGGACCTGAAGGAAAGCGAAAAGCTCGGCCCTGGGCGAGGACTGCATGGGGCCTGGGAGAGCCCCAAAAACAAGAATATCTACCCCTGGAGGCGGCTCACTCAACTGACAGAAACCCCAGCCTGCACGCGTGGCCTCAGGCCAGTACCACATACGCTGACACGCACCATCCGTGCACACGTTTCCTGTGATACCTGATACCTTGCGGGTCGCCATATTGGGTGCGCCAGTGCCCAGTGCTGTCCCGTGGTGGTAGCGGCGGGAAGCATGAGCGAGAGACGAGTCCTGCCGACCATAACATAGAGTCACGCACTTGCCTAGGGAATCCATCCGTGCGGATGCAAGACAAGTGTAGCTGACGCTTTGTATGTAGTGCTGGACACTCGTGCGCAATATGATACAAATCACATGATGCCGCCGTGCACCGGGGGCATGTGTCTGTGCCCCTGTAACCACACTTCGCAAGCCTTGATGGGCTCCAAGGACCGCCTCCCAGATACGCACGTAGAAGGCCTGCTTCTTTGAGGGAGGGCTTCCACTTGTCGGCAAATGGGTTGGGTCCAACAGGGGTCGGGGTCGGGCATGCATCGTCCTCATGATCGGGATCGCCGGGCTCGTCCTCATTCCCGGAGTCGTCGCCTTCGTGTAATTCAACCTCGGATAGGATCTGCAATGTTGGCTCGATCCAATATCCAATAGGCTCCCGAGGGATGGCATCGTGTCCTGGGAGAGGTGGCCGTCGGGCCCAGTTTTCCCAGAGTCGTCGCACTCCATCTCTAGCAAGCTGACGGATGGTGGACGGCGCCTCATCACGAACGTTGATCGGAACCCCTAGGTCCGTCCTCCAAACGGCGCTGCTGATAGCGGCCCAACCGAGCTCTCGTAGTGCGAGCATATCTTCTGGATCTGGCGAAGCCATGCTGACTGCAAGACACAGTGGGGCACCTGCGGATCGCGAAACAGGAGGGGCCACTGGCGCAGCGGCGCGGCCCAGGCCTCCACCTGGGGATCAGTGAAAATAGATCCCTGGAGGCATGATGTAATCCAAAACGATGCGCTGGAGCCTGGGGCGTGCCACGCACCTCGCTGTGCCGGCCGCATTTGTTCTACAAGTCGTTGGGGGGGCTCCGTGCACGCCTAGCCCATAGGTCAAGGCTTGTGGGAGAGCCTGCGTGTGGAAACGACTGAGGAGAGGACCAGCTCTGTGCAGAGAGATAAAGCGCGGTCGACGACTGGCCACACCCCTCACACGTTGTCGCAGTCTACTGTAGCGTACTGGGCGTCCCGAGACCTCAATCCCAAGAACCTCCGATGCCTCCACGTAGACGTACCCAAGATCTTGCAGCTGGTAGGCCACATGATTTCCCAACGCAGGGATGGAGCTAGTGAGCCTCATCTTGTGGGCAGCTGGAGGGAGCCCTAGGGCCTTGAGTATTTGCGCCAATCGCCGTAGAACCCGCTGGGACCATGAACCGATGTGTCGTAGTACGCCATATATGTGTACTGTAATTTCGTCCGCATACACGTCGATGCTACGTGGTATGTCCTTGGTGCTGCGTGCGAGGTGACCGAAGGGGGCAATCATGATACACTGTAGCGCGAACATGGCCATCGAGCATCCTGGTAATACACCACACTGCGCATACACGACATCCGGGTAGCAATTGTCCCATACCAAACGTCGGCTGCACATGTATATCTCAAATGCGAGGAGGAGCATTGGCCCTGGAAAGCCTTGCTGGATCCCCGCACGCAGCAGCCACAGCCATGGCACTTTGTCAAATCACTTTGCTACATCAACGATCGCATGCACTGATGCCTGCGATTCTGGCCGCAGATGCCCACCTGCCTCTGCTGTTGCCATCGCACGAGCTGCAACGTCCGTCGTTGATCGCTGCGAGCCAAGTGCAAGATACTGGCGACCTAGTCGGGACGCCCACGCCCTGACCCAAGCTAGTCGGGCGTGGGCCCATACTCGATAGATGGACGGGAGCAATGCAATAGGTCGGTACCCATCCGTCGGTTTGCCCAGTAGAATGATGTGTACGCGTCTAATACTCGTGGGCCACGTCCCAAAGGCCTCACATAGATGTAGTAGGTATCCCAAGACAGCCAGGGCCCCGTTGGAGGCCAACGCCCAATGTCGAGGTCTGAACTGATCTAGCCCAAGGGCCGTGCGCCCCGAGAAACTCCGTGCCGCTTGCCGAAGGGCTTCGATGCCCATGGGAGGCATACGTGGACCAGCCTGACATCGGCCGCGCATTTCGACGATGAGATCACCATCGCCGTCGTCATGAACGCTCTGGGTGAGGAGGGGGGGGGGGGGGGGGGTCGTCGTCGCATCCTTCCCACGCGTCCTTCCGAGACTGTCGCTGGACCAAACATATGTCCTCAGAGGTGCTGGATGGTCCC